TTCACACTGACATGAGTTGTTCTGCGGTAAACTGTATTAACCGATTCTGCAGGAGTGTGGGTGGGGCCTTGATACCTCGGCTCCACTACATACTTCTCCTCTCTCACTACTGCGCAGATTCGGGTCCCGAGTTCACTACTGTGTACCCGAATGAGCGCAAGATTGAGACATTGGCGGTTTCACTTTTCTACAATGAAAAAGAATGAAGGTGCGTCATCATCCATCTTTTTTCTTACAGTCTATGTTATGTAATAATAGCCCAATTTAAATACATGACTCTACAAAATTCAGGCGCCAGCAAAAACTTCACCTGCTTCTGCCAAGTTTGATGCTCTGGCAACTTGCAAGTCAATCTTATTTAAAAGTGATCCTTACAAGAACTGAAACTGAGATGACCACCGGTGAACTGGAGAGTAGGTTGCTCTCAAGTTCAAAAACAATACAACGAAACTACAAACCCCCTCGGCCGTGTGCGATTCTAGCTAGGGAGCCACATGTAAGGCAGAACTCTTGAGATAGTCTAAATTAGTTTTGCTTGCCTAAATGTGCATCTACGCTGTATGTGGGTGTTATATAGGACAGCTATAAAACAATGAGCTTAAGTGAATCATCGTGCTCATTCTCTCTCTCTCTAGGGGCAATATCACACACATCACACCCTGGGAGAGCCGTGCCCAGGAACTCACTGTACCAACACACAAGAGATATAGAGTTACGGCCAGAGCTCTAACGTTTATGGCATTTTCACAACCACACTAACACACGTAACTGCTGAAGTGTCAAAAGGATGGAGTCCTGACGTGTTTATGTCCAGTGTGTAAATTTTGCTTTGGCAACTGAGTTACTGTATGACACTGATGAAAACTAAGTGAAATACTTTTAAGTTGAATACTAATCAATTAAAAATAAAAAAAAATAAAACTGAAAAATAAATAATTTAAACCTAAACAGTAATACAACAAAAATGATAAAAGCACATAAAAATGCAATAAATAAATAAAAAAAATCAGACTGACGTTACCTTATCTATATGCAGGAATTCACCTAATTAGTGAACATAATTACCCCTAAGGCACTGGATTAGCCACCTGCTAACATACCACTAAGCTAGAAGACTAGATTAGCCTTCTGCTTGCACATGAAATACAGAGACTATTCTAGTATACAACACAATATGACAGCAATTCTAAGGCTAATGTGCAAAGTGTAAAGGTTTGGGTTCAGTATGATGTATTTTTTAAATAAATGAATACTTTTCATACAGCAAAGATGCATTAAACTTTGCCAATGCGACAGTAAGTTCATTGATGTTACAAGGATTTCTTTCTATTCATCACACAATCCTGCAAAAAAGCATTTCATTCGCTATTAAAAACAAGAGATGTTTTAAATAGTAAAAATATCTCACAATATTCGAGTTGTAATGTATTTCTGATTAATGCAGCCATGGTGAACACGAGAGAATTGTTTGAAAAATATTCCAAAATCTTACTGACAGAGTGCATTAGGTAGGGTAATTTGTTGCTAAAATGGTCTTTGGTGAAGGATTGTCATCTTTTTGCCACAGAGTCTGGATTAATGTCAAGATAATAATCTGCCCACTTCTCCATACTATGTGGGTAACTAATTTTCTCCCCTCACAAAATGGACTCAATCGTTGCTGTAAACATATCCATTAACTAAGACTTTCCAGCATCTGGCCAGTGGGGAACATTGAGTTTTTGTTAAAAAACAACAACAAAAAACTAAGAAGCCAAGCCATTAAAAAACAGACAGTACTGAATCATTCCTTTACATTTGTACGTAAACATGGTGAGTGGTGGCCTAAATGTAAAGTTACACTAATGTTTTGCAGGGCATTCCCCATTCAACAAAGAAGATATTCTAAGATTACAAAGGAAGCATATTCAATGTCAACACTTATTTGCAAGGTAGGCCCTCGCAAAACACAAATGTGTGTGTGTGTGTGTGTGTGTGTGTGTGTGTGTGTGTGTGTGTGTGTGTGTGTGTGTGTGTGTGTGTGTGTGTGTGTGAGAGAGAGAGAGAGAGACACTCCAGGCCTTGAATCTAATATTACACATACAGGCCCAAGACTTACCTGCTCGCAGGAACTAATCAATCATAATAATCAAACATTGAAGATCGTTATTAAAAGCTCGTTGACATACATTTCCTCATAAACCATAATATCGGCATAGATAGATCATACTGTTATGGATTTGTTTGGGTGTGAAGGCATCTGACAGGTGAACAACACACACTCACCCGCAGGGCGGCCAGGTCGATGTCATCCAGACTCCGCGTAGGTGCGTTTTCTGACATTTTTGCGGCGATTCAGGAGGAAATTCAAAATATGTACTCCAAACTGCAGCAACGACAGCGGTATTTTTATTTTATCAGTATATTTATTTCAATGGACAGTTCAGAAAAACTTGTGAGGTCCCCGGAGAAACATTTGGCTCGACCCGCCGCGAACAGTTTAGCTAACCGACAACAGCTGCAGGATTTCTGACCATAAAATGTTTGTTTCTTGTTTATCGGAGAACAAATGGTTCTTTAAGGCTAAGTGATCCGGTTCTTCAGGCAAGTGTTCGAGAAATGCCTAGCGAGCATTTATCGATGATAAAGGCAGAGATTGAGCCTATAATCCTGAAGACTGCATGGCAACATTTACATGAGCTTGAATCAGATGTGCCACACTACACTCCGTCTCTACACTCATTTTGGCAGCACTGCGTAAGTTAAGCCAATCCTACCTCAGTCAAAGCAGTAGAATAACGTATGCACGAGCAGTATAAATCTCAAAATATGTAAATAAAGAGGCAGAACTTCAAGATAAGTCAAAAGCCGAGCTCCAAAACAGCGGCGCTCGCTCGTGATATCCGCGTCAATCTGCCACAGCCGTCATGTTACGGCGCAACCCACGCACACGCCTTAAACGGGATTTCTGTGTGGATTTCGATGTCACTGTTCGGCTCAGTTAATGTCCACAGTTTTTAAAAGTCTCTACAATGAGTCTCGGGTTGAAATACACGGTCCTGGTGACAAAAACAATAAGTGTTTACGTCGAATAAAATTCCGCCCGCCTGGCAAACTTTCATTCCCTCCTGATGTCAGTCAGCGGCACCTCCCGGTTGTGCGCAAAACCTCTGCCGATTTGTTGGAGAGAAAGCAAGGGGAAGAACGGGAAATCAGAAACAGCACCTTGTTTTCAGGCCGGACCCTTTAAGGCAGTGATTCGTCACGATGCACAACGTTACATTATTGTTATTACTATAATTAAGATGTTAGTAAAACGAGTCGCCTCGGGAATAAACTTTGTCCTTTTGCTGTAATCTCGTTTGTTTTCATGGGTCAGATTGAACTTCTCTCTCCTGTGTTGGTATGATCCTATTCCTACTTCTGCCGTGACGTCCGTCCTCTGCAAGAATACACAACACTGTTTTCCAGCCACTTTATTTTCCCCCCTCCCCTGCACTTTCTCACTCCCGTCTTCCTGTACTGTTCGACTGGGTTGCTACGGTGCTACAACAGGGACAAACTTCCCGAATAAGTTACAAAGGAGACAGGTGGTACAGGAATAATACCTATAGCAGAACATTAACAAAATAATAACTAGCAGAACATAATCACACAAGCTTTTTTTTGTAAATGTTTTTAGGCTTATTATTACATTGACTTAGGCTATATTGCTTTTATACGCTAATGTTGTTCTTGTTCATAAACTTACATAAGCCTAACTCTCACACTTTAACAATTTTCTAATTTAAGACATAATTTATGTTTATTGAAGGGATGGTTCATCTGGAAAAACAAAAATAATAATATTAACATTCATCATTTCCCCTCATGTCGTTCTTGACCTTCCGTATTCACCAACATTAGGCTATCAACGTTCTTTAATATTTTCTATTTTGTTCCGCATAAGAAGTCATAGGCTACAGGTTTTGAATGACATGAGAGTGAATTATAGAACTTTTCTAAACTATTTGGTTGAGCTAGCTAACAATAAATATATATTATTTACTATTTGCTTCTAAAAAAAGTCTTCATTTAGCCTACTTAATTCACTATTTACTTAAATTCTTCTGTTTCCGTTGGTTATTTTGTTTTGTTGGCACTTTAAAGCGACCTTGAGTTTGAGAAAGGTGCTGTATAAATAAAGGAAATTTGTTGGCTGAGAATCTCTAACAAGTAGGGGTTATTAAACAGATCGTTGCTGATCCGTGATCGAATGGACAAAGCCCCACATTTCGTGGATCAGTTACAAGTTTAACGCAATTATCATTTGCACATGTTTTTTCTTCCTTGTTTACATATTCAATAGATTTTAAAAACCATTCCAACGCTAGAAGAGGCAATATAATTTATTTCGGTATCGCACATTGTTACATGTGCGTGCACAGCCATACACACCCGAGGCACGCACAGAGAGAGAGAGGCATATTACATGTAGCGCACAAACTTCGAACTGATTCCTCCACTGGGATGGACACATACACACAAATTATGCCAGTCCATACCCGTCTCAGCAAGTTTTCTCTTAAGCACACTTAAGTGAACAAGATGAGAAAAAAATAGAATGTGTATCATTATACTGGATCAGTGCGTACATGGTCTTAAAGTGACAGTGTAACCTATAAATACCAGCTGTTTGACATGTTAATCAAACAACAAAACACAGCTTTAAGATTTATCTATATTGCATTTATTCCGTGAACATAGTGTTATTTTACATTTAATTATTACATTTCTGTACCCGAAATGAATGACCTTTCTTTATGTTGTATTTATATGCTTGTAATTGGTTTACTGTCTGTTCACTTGCCTTTTACTCTGGTATCGCAGGACTTAAAGTAAGCTTTAAGTTTAATTGGAGAGCAAAGTTTCCCCCGCACAATTTTTATTCCTGCTGATCCGATTCGTAACGTAAAAAACGTAATATGATCCGAACCGCCAGTTTTGTGATCTGGTGAACGACAAACAACACAAAGCATCAATGAAGTGAATGGTGTATTTATTCAGATGGAGAACAGAAAGGAAAATAACGGATTGCTCAATTGCTTTCAGACAACTATCATATTGCATTTATAGTCAATCCAAAAATACATGTCATACATGTAGCCAAATACACCATAAAACATTTTTGAAAGTGACTTTTGAAAATGACATGTGATCTCTAGGACCTTTATAAAAAGCAAGCAGTTGTAAAAACTACAAGTCTGCCCTTTATAACCTCGTTTTCATCTGAAGAAAATTCAATATGCCGTCTATACTAGCTGTCTATAGTAGACATTCAGAAGCAGTGAAAACACATAGTGTTAGCCAATATTAATTTAAGTATTAGTTTGTGAGCTCAGAATGCTTTCTAAATAAAATCAATTGTATATACATAAAAAGTATAAAAATGTGCAAAAGCAGTGATTTTTTAACATAATTGTCAGTTCATAAAGTTGCCTGCTTGATATAATTAGAATGTTACAGTATATTAATGATTGTGTCATCAGTGGTCAAACCCAAAAACATTCTCTTCTAGTGCAGGTAAAGTCACCTACAACATTCTACAGCATTACATGGGCAGATTACTAATCATTTACAAAGTGGGGCATTGACAAAATTAGCTTTGCTTTTCTGGTCTCCAGTGTGCTCTCGACACCCCCTTCAAAAAACCCAAAGTGGAACCTTCTGGGCCGCTGACATAATTACATAACAATAATTTCTTCTGGTTGTCATGGAGATGAGGTGGTTGGTGATAAATGTTGAGCTGAGAGACTCCCCCTGAATATCTCACCATGTTTGATGCCCCACCTGATCCCCGCTCCGTAACACTCCCCCCTACCTGTTTCAAAAAACATTACATAATGTTCCCTTACCAAGTACGCCAGCACCCACAGTTATCCCTGTTTTTACGGTTTGTCTATTTATTCCTGATTCTTCCTCTCTCTTTCTTTCGTTTTCTCTATCGCTCTCTCAGAAGCCAAGACCAAGTCAGCTCTTTATAACAGTCACCATAACAACCACAAATGTTCTGACAGATTTGCTGCCACTGCATTGAGAGGTGTAGTGCACGAAAGAAAGAAATAAAGAGAGAGGGAAAAGAAGGTAAAGCAATGCTTGCCACCCACACACATTCACAACAATAAATGTACGTTCTGTTCCTTAGTCATCAAAAATACCCTCTCTCTCGCCTTGTTTTCTCTTCTTTCCGTTTCTTGTTCCTCATTTTATCCTCGATAATATGCAGCACTTTACATCCTCGGCCATCTTAAATACTCAGATCATGACATCTGTGGCCGTAATGGGCATTTGGGGAGAAGACTGATGTTATTTCATTGTATCTTCATAAAATTAGCAACTGCACCGTGTGATTCTCCTAACAAACGCATTTATCTTCTTATATAAGATCAGCATGTGTTTCTACACTGTATTTGGGTTAGTGTTCAGAGTTAACATTTCCTACCATTACGTTAGTCCAAACATAATTAGACAAAAAAGTGTGGCAGCAGCTTATAGCTTAGTTAGCCGATGTGTGATATTTTAAACTCTGAAATCCTGTTTCACTGGCACACTTCAAACTATTTGATGCTTTTCCCTGCTACGTCCACACTTCCATAGGAACCATTCCTTCTTTGCTCTTAAGTGACGGGAGCAAGTACTCCTCACAAAGGAAATGTAGCGGAAAATGGACCAGAATGCCCTGGATGGCCTGTAATTCTTCTCTGGCTTTCTCCGGGTCGGTAAGACTGAGATTCTCCGTGTTCGCGTTCCCCAGCAACTCGCGCAAGTTACGGATGGAGTCCAGGGGAAGACATCGGAAGACCTGCACAGTGAAGAAAAAAAGATTCCAGAAATCTAATCCATAACTAGATCATGCAACCATCGAGATCTCTGGGATTAGCATTGTGAGTGTAAATATCTAGGTAATGATAGTATAGAAGTGCATGGGAGTGCTGATATTGTCTGCAGGACTGCTGCACAACCTGCAAATTACAGTAATTGCAGGTTTTGTCATAGTTTAGACTTGCATTCAATGCTTTTGTATCAGTAACCCAGCACAGCGACTTTAAATGAAAACCTTTAGTTAAAGACATCAGATTCATAAATGCCATAGAGGGTGTGTGGGGGAATTCAGAACACAAGGTCTGTCCCTCACCTTCTCATAGATGACGGCATTGGTTTGGGCGATTTTGTTCCAAACATTGTTGAAGAAATGATCACTGATCGGATCATCGATGTCCAGAGTTGGGTCGGATTTTGCTCCGAGAAGTACACTGAGGAGAGGAGGCAAAAGGTGAATTTAGACAGTTTAGCTAAACAGTATTTAGAGCAGTCGTTCTCAACTTTTTTTTTTGTTCCTTTGTTCAAAACAATTTTAAAAGGCTGATAAGTACCTTTTGTACTTCTGTTGTAACAGAAATAAATAAACTAATAAATAAGATGCTAGTTTAATGTTGTACATCTTTATTCTCAGGGGTTTACAATGAAAAAAAACCCCACCATTTTCAACTAAAAACGGGATACTTATTATGCATTTTTGCCATTAATTTACACAGCAATGGTGTTTTTTTCACACAGACGCAAACTTTAGAAAACAGATTTAAAGCGCAACTTTTAAATAACGATACTATTATTGTCTCTGTGTAAACTACAAAAAAGCGAATGCGTTAAAACGGTGATGTCAAGCGCATCATATTACACGTTCAGTCTATTAGCGGATTGTTTTTTTATTTTAGCATTTGCAGCATAATGCAGCCGTTTTTGCAGATCTGTGTGAATGGGGATCGTTTTGACAGCTTTGTCTGCAAGCAAAAAGCTTTTCCGTTTTTAGTACATTGTTGTCATGTAAATGTATCATTGTTTTAATTATGTTTCGCAAAGGCAACACTTCAAAACAAACCATAGTATGTTGATAGATATTACGTGAGAACACCCCCTCCCCCTTTCCAGTTCCAAGTAAAAAAAAAAAAAAAACTCCTTTGAATCAAATGCTCTTAACAGACTAGGACTAAAAATCTCAGTCTACATCTTATTTCAATTTTTAATCATATCACATCAAGAGGTAATTTCAGAGCATTTTACTTTAAGCATTAAAGACAAGTCAACATCAAAAAAGAAAATATCAAAAAACTCATTTAGACTGATACAGTGCACCCTTGGGGTGTAGAAAGCCTGCGGAAAGTCTCATAGAGCAAATAGAAATGTGAAATGTGAAAACTATTATGGGAGGAGATTAACGTGGAATAACTCAATCAAATCATAAGACCCAGAGACGGACATTAACACAATCACTTGAGGTCACATCCCAAGGCTAGCAGTGAAAGGTGCTGCAGACATGCATCATTAGAAGCATCTCACTGTTTCCCTTGGCAACCAAGAGATGTTCTGGTAGCTGGCAGTATGGAACGCAGCGTGCCAACACAAATTGCTCTGCTCACACACACACACACACACACCTCTCTCTTTCACTCACACACTCCTACACAGACAGGAGAGAAGTTGGACAAAATGGGATGCCGAGGTGCTTCACTGCACAAACAGAGATCTATCATCTTAGCTACAGAACCATTCTCATGTAAAAGAGATGGATTATGACTATGTTTAAGGTATTTCATGGGAAGAAATGCAAAAAGATACAAGCCTAATGACTACTAATAATATCATACTCGTATCTCTGTTACTCATTTCCCATCAATTGTGCTTGACATTTCTTGACAAACTGCATAAATGAAATGCTTCAATTTGTCACAGTCATTAAGGTCAGCTAGTCTTGAAGATATCTGTGCTTTACAGGCTTACCTCATAATCAATCGCATCAGTAAATCATGGTTTGTGTTTCGTCTTGAACGATTCATTATCTAGCTCATAAAACTCATTTGTTGTAAATCTAACTACACAAGCATTCAAAAGTTTGGGCTCAATAAGGTTGTTTTTTTTTCTTTTAGAAATGAATACTTCTATTAAAGCAACACTAAGTAAGAATTTTTACAAAACCGTTTCAGTGGTTCATCAAGTCGTGACATTGTAAAATGCACTTTGCGGTCCTTTATCTGATATATCCATGTAATGTAAGATTGCCAGATCGGGTCGCGTTTCTGTAGTGCGAATGAGACATAAGAAAACTACATATTTGACTTGCTTTACGGCAAGAGTTATAATTGCTGATAGGTGGAGCGTACTCGACAGTAGACTACAACTACATATAAGATACCTAGCAGCCGGCTAGCTTTTGAATTGTCATCATGATTCCAAAGCGGATGCTGGATAAACAGAGAGCGTGCGACAGTAGGATGCGGTAGGCTGAATTATTTACGACAGCAATAATGGACAATTCCGCTTCCAACCTGTAGGGGGACCGCAGAGGAAAAGTTCCTTGGTGTTGCTTTAAGCAAGGACACATTACATTACAAACGTGAGAGTAAAGATATTTAACATTTTACAAAAGATTTCTATTTCAAATATATACTGTTTTTTGATCTTCATATTTATCAAAGAATGCTGGGGGGAAAATGTATCATTGTTTCAACTAATGTATCAACTGTTTTCAACATTGATAATAAGAAATGCTTCTTATGAATCAAATCGTCATGTTAAAATTATTTCTGAAGGATCATGTGACTGACAATTGAGGCTGAAGATTCAGCTTTTCACAATATTTACTGTATTTTTAAATCAAATAAACACAGGCTTACCAACAAAAATCTCTTACCAACACCAAACCTTTAAAGTTTAAATGGAACTGCGGACGTATGTTCTTGCTTGCAGTTTGCGATGACAGCTCAATAGAAAGACATGTTTTCTTGCCTTTATTTTTTGGTACACAACCTTGAATCACATTGGATTCAGACTGATAACTCAAAATGCCATAGCGCTGTAGATTCAGTGCTGGAAACGCTGGAGAATCCAGTTTTCTGAGCCTCCAAGCAAAGCATATCCAAAGACATTTTCATTCACTATGGAAATTGTCATGACTTTTCTAAGCAAAAATTTCAGGTGCTTCCATGACTCTAGAAGACTGATGTAAGAATCATATAGTATATGTGTTTGACAGATTTGATTTGATTGGTGGTTGCGACACTTTGACTTCTTCACAGAAAGCTTGTCAACTTTAAATACATGCTCTGGTGCATCTCTGTCACTGCTTTCAAGTATATACACACCTGAAGCACTCCTTTCGTAATGCGAGTGCTAGTGGTCCAGCCTGGTACTCCTCTCCGTTCATGACTGAGGGAACTCTTTCCTCATCCTCAACCAGCACTGCCAGCTCACTGTCACGACTGCCCAGCATGCTCCTGTCATTGATGTTGGCTGACCCTGATAACAACAGGAGAGGAAGGACATTTTGAAGAACTTTAAATTGGAACAGATGGATTTTGGAGCTTTTTCATGGAAATAGTATCATGGGTCAGCGATTCCTAAATCCCATTCCAAGGTGCAAATACCCCAGGGATACTTTATACACGTTGCTTTGTTAAACCTATGCAAAACAAATCATTTAAAGACAGTCAGCAGATCAAAGTTGAGCTTTGATGATTTTTCACCATTATCCACCATGGCTCTGTGGGTAGGGTGACCACCCGTACCGCACAGTATTTTCACCCCGTGTCCCGCACGTCGCATATTAAGATAATGTCCCACATTTTCATCAGTCTGTTGGTTTTAATTATCATATTATTAAGACAACTTGCATGCATTCTTTTGCCTTTTTAATAAACCATTTTATTTATTATTTTTGCGTCATAGTTTTTCACCTATATTTAACAGCGTTTCATCAGAGTACAAATACAAAAGCCGTTTTTTAAATCCTATCCAATGGTTGAAAAGAAAGCAGTAAACACTGTCACTAGTACGGCTGTGACTGCTGTCAATCAAAATGTGGATTGGTGATTCGTTCCAAATGTTCCCTGTCAGAAAACAAATTGATAATTCGGTAAATTAAAACCTTAATTTCAACGTTATCAACGTGTTGCCTGCTGTGGTGTTTTAATTCACATCCTTTAAAAAAAAAAAACATTAAAGTTTTTATTTAATAAATTCTTATTATACAAGACTGTCAATGAGCTAATTTCATGTTGTTTTATATTTTATCTGTTCATTATTTATTTTGTTGGATTTTAGTTGGAGTTGGTCAGAACTGTTTCATAAATAGCTAACTGCATGATGCCTGCAGCCTTTGGGCTCAGTGATGTTGAAATGACATATAAAATAAAGACATGTTAGGTTACATTGTGATGTAGCCTAATGGTGTTTTCTGGAAAAAACAAAGTATTTTTATCAGTTGAAACTTTAAGGCAGAATACAAATGTTTTTTATTAAGTTAGGGTTAGGGTTAGATACATTATATAACATATATATAGAAATTATATAACAGGTTCAGGTTATGTTTTAGTGTTGGTAACATGTCCCACATTGTCCCACACACACTCGGTAATCGTCCCACATTTGCTTTGTTTGATGGTGGTCATCCTATCAGTGGGGGGCTTCAACAGTTTAATGTTTCTTGTGTTCATCAAGACAGCATTTATTTGATAAAAAATAGAGTAAAGCAGTAATATTGTAAAATATTATTATGATTTAACATGACTCTTCTGTTTAATATGTCAAATCTGAATTGTCAGCATCATAACTTTCTTCAGTGTCACATGATCCTTCAGAAATCTTTCAAATATGCTGATTTGGTGCAGCATTATAACCAGATAAATAATAAGACAAGAAACTTGTCTTATTATTATCTGGTTATCATCCTCTAATTGCAGTTGAGCTGCTTAATATTTTTAACAGTGATATTTTTTTAAGATTCTTTGATGCCTAGATATATATATAAACTTTTGCAACAACACAAATGTCTTTAACAAGGACACATTAAATTGATACGAAGTGACAGTAAAGTTTTAATTTATTCAGCAATCTGTCTTACATCCATCTTTGAGACATAGACATAGTCTCTTGTGTCTTATTGTATTAATCCGAAGCCAAATGTCTCACCTATGATGTAGCAACGGTCGTCAGCGATAAGGGCTTTGCTGTGGACATAGATGAGCTCTGTAACAGGGGATTGGCCGAGCTGAGTGTGTGTGCGCAGACCACACAGAGAGATATACTGTGTCCATTCTTCCTGCACTGATGAGAAGATGAGACGGTCATTAAAACAATAAATGGTAAACCATTACTGTGATTGGTTAATGAGTAGAATGTTATAGTACGTGGCTAAAAACTACAACATCAGATAAATTATTTAGTCATTTAGTCACTAATAAAAAGACAAATGTGAAAGTAACAGATGGAGAAGAAGACAGTTTCCAAAAATGTACTCTACCAGAGTGGCAGGATTACAGACAGCTAAACATGTTCCTGCCAGATACTTACTTTGTTCCTTTAATCTTGAAAGAATGGACTGTTCTCCTCGATTAATCGTTCTACGCACAGAAAAAGTTATCTTAGCAAAACACGATCGCATGAGTGTGTATTAATGTAGATGTTTAGCTGGGCTGGAGTGTGTGTGTGTGTGTACCTGTAGGTGAAGTGAAGTATAGCCTGAATGGCGTTTCCTCCTCCCTGACTGATGTCTCCCTCAAAGCCGGGCAGCAGGGGAATTACAACAAACACCCTGTACTTCTTCCCCTCACTATAACAATTCAAACAAAACTAATAAGAAACACTGCAGAATACTTTTTATTTGACCAAACTTGTATTATTTTCACAGAGGTAACACACCTGTGAGCCCGTAGGATCCGTTTGACAATGGCATCCCCAATGGTGTTGTGTACATTCTTCTCATCTGAGCAGCTGATGAAGAACTGATTCTAAAAAAGAGGAGGGTTCATTTGTCTCACTTGTTTGCTAAACTCTTGGCACCTGGTACTGAAATAATGTGATTGTCTAAGAGCATCAAACAGGGGGCTGCAGCATGTGATCTTTACAAAAGTTCTATTTCCAGTAAAGCTGCCTTACTAAATGTTCTACAGCCAACGACCAGGAGCCAGATTCACGAAACATTCTTACTGTAACATTATCCCTGTAATGGCTTATTCACACCGCACCAACAGATTTCGACTAACAGCAACAGACATGTTCGTCGGGTTTTGTCGGATCAGTGCATTACGCTTCGGTCATTGAAAGTTGAAAGTCATTGCAGTGTATTAGCCTTAAAGGGATACTCCACTTTTTTGGGGGAAATAGGCTTATTTTACAACTCCCTCAGAGTTAAACAGTTGGGTTTTACCGTTTTCAGTAAAATCCATTCAGACGATTTTCTGATATTTAGAAGAATATCAGTAACCAGACAGTTTCTGGTCTCATCAACTATACTATGGAAGTCAATGAGACCAGAAACTGTCTGGTTACTGATATTCTTCTAAATATCAGAAAATCGGCTGAATTGATTCGAAAACGGTAAAACTCAACTGTTTAACCCTGATGGAGTTGTAAAATTAGCCTATTTCCAAAAAAAAAGTGGAGTGTTCATTTAAGATCATTATTGCCTTACCTAAGAAGCATATGTTTAATAATATTTTATATAAATAAAAGATATTCCCAAAAAGACATGTTTTTTTAAAGACTATTGTTAAATCATCAGTTACTCACCCTGATGTCGTTCCAAACCTGTTTGGGTTTCTTTCTTCTGCAGAACACTAAAAAGATATTTTAAAGAATGTAGGTAACAAAACCGTTTTGGTGACCACTGACTTCCATTGTATGGACAACAAAGCACTGAGACATTTCTCAAAATATCTTCTTTAGTGTTCCACAGAAGAAAGAAAGACGTGAGTAAATGATGACAGAATTTTCTGCGTGAAATATCCCCATAAATAAAGTCTTAAACTTAGGATAGTCTCAATTTAATTCTATAATCTAGCATACTAGAAGACTAATTAGATATGTGTGGTACAGAATTATAAATAACTAAGCCTGACATAGTTTTCTTTAGAAAATAGATAACAATTGGAACATTTTAATAAAATACCTCTTAAATAATTCATATTCATTAATATCCATAGTAAATAAATACATAAGTAAATTGTAGAACATAATTGAGTCTGGACAACACCAGTGTTTGTTGTTGAATTTAAAGTTTTTAGCTTTCAATACTTGTTAATATTGTTTTTATTATTATTTCTGTATGGACATTTCCTCTGGATGTAGTTTAAGCATATCTGTTCCATTCTTCCTAGTTTAGCTGACTGTTTCTGAGCATGAGGCAAGAGCAGAGGGTATTGTGTGTTGCCAGCTGAATGCAGTAGAATCACATGATCCTAGTGGGAGAGAACACTGTAAACAACTCCACAACACTGAGACTTTGTGTGTGAACAGAACACAGAGTCTGTTCAGCTGTGTGTGCGTGAAGTCTCATGAGTCAGAGGTAAATGCTTTTGGTAAGGTCATAGAATGAGCGTTACCTCTAGATAAATGTAATGCTCGCTGTTCTCAATAACATGTATATAGGCATTGAGGATTGAATGTTCACATGTGCCAGCAGACCAGCGATCGACAGAACGAAGAACCTGGGAGAAAAATAGAGGCGAATATTAAAGAGAAACAGACATAATTAAATGATGACGGCAAAAAGCTAAATTAATTAAATGAGGGGTACAGAGGTACATGTACCTGTACAGAGGCATTTGTGACACCAGGCATTGTGAATGGCAGCTTATTTGCTGTGCAGTGAGATTTCGGCAGTAGGTACGGGTAGAAGTCATCCTTGTATTTGTTCTTAAAGATCTTAAAAGACAAACAGAATATAAGAAGAAAATGCAACGATAAAAGTTTCCAGAGTGCATTTAGATTCAAAAACAATCAATAAAATTAGTCATTTGATTTCTGACCTTGGTGAAGTTCCAGCGCTGGATGAAGTGTCGTGCAAGATCTCTGGCTGCTTTCCCATGATGCACTGCACCCAGGTCTCGCCAGGGGATGCGTGGCACCTGAGTCCTGTCAACATTGTCTGAGGGGGGAACAGCAGAAGTTACTCTACTGGCTATACCCACATTCAATTAATACTCCCTTATCTTTATTCTAGCAAAGCATAAACATCAAATGATATTTAAATGATAGGCCTAAGAAGAAAAACTGTATCATGATTTCCACAAAAATATTAAGCAGCACAACAGTTTTCAACATTGAAAACTTGAGCACCAAATCATTACATCTACCAGGTGTCTGAAAAGAACAATACATCTGCAATGGAGAGTGGAGAAATTGCGACGACACCTACCCTACAGCATGACAGAAAGAAACTCGAGTTGTGTGATTTTACTACATTCTTTCCTTCAAAGCGGTGCACTTTAGTTCTTCCCTAAAAGCAAAACTTAATGTTCAAATCAGCTAGATCAGCAATTGTCATAGACTGCAGTCTACTGCTGCTAAACTGTGATAAAAAGAGTTATTAAAACTGCATTAAGCCACGAAATAGAAATTGTTCCCCAAGCGACTTTCTGTGCGCGCGCTAAGAGACGAAGTGGAACACAGACAAGCAAAGTGAACTTTGAGTTTCAGTTTCGCATCTAAACAGATAAATACACACAGAAATATGTCAAAAGGCCTGGCTTAGTGAGTATACGATTAAATACTTTTGGTTATGTCTTAAGTGAACATAAAGGTTTGAGAAATGAGTCACATGTGTAACAGTATACTGGATCCTTGAATTAGGTTGTAAAGTGACAGCAGCCTAATATTCCTGCTGCCGTCTGTGTCATTTATGTTAATCAAACAAGAAAAGAGAAAGAGAAAATCACTCAACCGTTCCATAGTAGATTTAGTAGGATTAATCTATATTTAATTTATACAGTGAAGACTATGGATTTGTTTTGCATTTGATAACTTTCTGTTGATAATTACTGTTCTGATTTTTTTTTTTTCTAAGAGAAGAAATGGAATATGTTGCACATGTTATTAAACAAAGAGACAATTCGTGATATTTTCTATATTATCTTCATTTTTTTATACTTAAAAAACATTGTTGTTAAGAATAGATAAATAACCTCAGTGAGTCTATTTGAAGTCTTCTATTTATCTTGTAGTATTATTTATTTCAGTGATTGGTATTAGTCATTGTATCAACTAATACTCCTTCCAGTGATCTGTAATTGGCCCCAAAAACCCTGATCGGAGCACCCTTTTATAAAAAGATGTTAGATGGGTTATTTAAAATAATAAAAAATGTATTTAATACTACATTGGACTGTGTACCTTGATAGGGCTGATCCAGCTGTGTCCAATCTCTCTTGATAAAGTTGCTGTAATCTTTTCCCAGCCACAAGAGGGCATTACAGCTCAGATCGACTTCATCCTCACACTCTGACGCAGATACTGTCAGAGGAACTGCAGGGCCATCCACAGTATCAGACTGAGTCAGGAAGAGGGAGAGGGAGAGGGAAGTTAAAAAACAGAAATTAAACAGGGAGAGATGAAGAGTACAGGATCATTTAAGGATATCATCATATCTATTAGTCACAACTGTACCTCTGGGCCTGCCTCTGCATGAGTGGCTGGTTTTGGGGGTTCCAGATCACTCAGCCTATAGTCGCTGTCATCCCACCTCCCAAACGCAAGATCCAACCCACCCACGAAGGCCACTGATTGGTCGATGGCTACCATTTTCTCATGATGAGCCCAGAGGAACACAACTGAGGAAACATGATCAGGGTGACGCATCACCTAGGGCAAAAAAAAAAAAATATAGAGTGAATCATCTATATAAAAAAGAACGCACAATAAGACAGCTGTCATGATGTGAAAGAATGACAAAATTGTGAGGGAGAAGAGGACAGCAGAATGAGCAGAAGTGTGTAGTAAATCAAACCTTAATATTGGGGTGGATGTTCATTAATGTTCTCTTGCTGTAGCCGCTATTGATACCCAGAGCCAGTTCCACCTCCTTATACAACAACACACACACCTTCACTCCCTGTTCCTAAACACCACACACACACACGTAATGTTAAAGTTTATGCCAATCAATATATTTAAACACTTACATGGTTTGACAGATGGAATGCTTTTTAAGATAGATAGGGGAGAGAACTTATGAAATGTATAAAGGAATAAATGTAGTGTAAAAGAGTTTTCCCCCATACTGCTTTGCGTTTGAGAATCTTGTCCAGGCGCCAGTATGTTCCTGTAGCTGGACGTTTGAGGAAAACCTCTGGACTGAGCCTGCAGGGAGAAAACTCAAATGTCTTCACAACCCTTTCAATCATGACAATATACAACACAACATGCAACAATGACAACACAATATAGTACATCTGAATGAATCTCAGATATTCCCAGCATCTGAAAATGCCTACTTCCCAAGTTAACTATGGTTATAAAATTTGTTACTGTTTTAAAAAGTGGTCTCTTCAAGCTCACCAAGTCTGCATTAATTTGATTAAAAATACAATATAACTAAAATATATATATATATATATATATACACTGTATTTTATATAATATATAAAATATATTTATATATATATATATATATATAATATATATATTTTTTTTTCAGCATCATTACTCCAGTCTTCAGTGTCATGCTTCAGAAATCATTCTGATATGCGGATTTGTAGCTTTGTGCTACTTTTTTTTGTGTGGAAATACTGAAAATGTAGTTTGGATTGTCTGGAATTGTATATATACCACACATGGTCAAAAAATAGGCTCTTTTTCATCAAATGGAGTGCTGAGCATACACTGACAGTATGTAATTTCAAATGGAGCAACTGACCCTTTCAGGCCATCTACTGTACATGTGTGTGTGGTAGGGGTTTCACAACTACTGATTTTTGCTAGTCGACTAGTTTTGCATAACAGTCGACGACTAGTCGACTAGTCGTTAAATGGTTTATTCTAGGGGTGTGCGACATCACGAATAGTAAATGTCTCCACGATCTGCTTTTGAAGAAATATGGTAGTAGTATCGTGTTACAGTCCATTCTCTCAGTTCAGTCGCCTCTGTCTCAACTGTACAACGCGACGTAGCCTACACATCACACGTTAAGGAATAGGTACGGGACACTGCAATTCACAAAAGTTCATTGTTTGCATAAGCCCTGCCGGTTAAACATTTAATTCACGCGCTGTTCTAACGTGCGCTTTCCTGAGCGCGCGGCATATCAGGCATTAGAAGCCTGTCAAACAGCGCCTGAATACTGGACTAAGTTATCTTTCAAGTCTTATTATGCTAATACTGTTAAATACACACAATGTTTACATAAACAGAATTGGCTATGTCTAAAGTGAAAGCAAACATTTGAGAGAAAATCTGGTGTAGGCTAATATGCGTCTATATTAAACACGTCGCGTGCTGGTCTAAAAGCGAGAGTAGTACTCGTATTTTCCGCACTATAAAGCGCACTTAAAAGCCTTTAATTTTCTCAATCCGGCCTTTTCTCAAGCCTTATAATCCGGAGCGCATTATATATGGATCAATTGCTCGCGCTCGTGTCCATCTTATGCCCGCTTTGTCACACGGCCAGTTCAACCTCGTATAAATCAGGTTATGTGTGTCTCCCGCTCACGAGCGCTCTCTCTAACACACACACGAACAGACACTGCTGTCAGGTTGCGAATGTAAGTTACGTGCCCGCCCCAGCGCGCTCACGCTTACTAAATAAACGCCTCACCTCCGACGCCGCGCACTCGCTGCATTCCCTTTAGCACATCTAGTGGATGCATAATGCAAACACAGTCAAACGTTTGAAAAATGTTCTAAAATAGGTCATTGAAGGTGCGCCTTATAGTGCTTATAGTATATAGTACTGCCGCTTGTATTTAAAGGGATAGTTAACAAAAAATATATATCTATATATATATGTCATCATTTTGTTTCCGACTAGTCGACTAAGGCCAACAGCGCCAACTAGTGGTTGTGACAGTCGACTAGCCGACTAGTTGATGAAACCCCTAGTGTGTGGTAGCACACTTACCACCAATCAGTGATGAAGATCTCCTCCTTGGCCTGTTCCAGTGCATCAGCCAGGTCTGAGAAATAGCCATTCCCATTAACATACCTATTAATCAACCAGTAAGTCATTTACTCAATACCCACTTCATTATCTAACTAGTCAATCAATTAATCAATGTTCTTTGAACAGAAGTACATCCAAGGACATCTTATGTATATGCACACACCACTTTGTGAGGGTCTCCGGCCTGGGTGGGGCAAAGCCTTCGAACCGATGGGTCTGGAGGAAATCACATGGCTCAGAGAGACGCCGAATCTCATGACTCCACCATTGGGCCTGCCTGTAGCTACTGCACTTAATCACCAGCTTCCTACAAAACACACACAACCCACACACACACACCAGCTGTGGCTACACACATAGACATAATAAATACATAGACGCCCTATTGGCCGCTGGAGCGTATGTCAATGGGCCATATTGCGGTGGGCAACTTTCTCATACTAACGAGAATTGAGAAAAATACCCGTTTGCTGCTTGGGGCTGTACAAATCACCACACAATTGAAAACAGGTCTCGAGGAATTATCTTTCACAAGCAAGACTGAACATTTGTTTCTGATTGTATTTGGTCATGATATAATTAGCAATAGTAACGTTCAGAAGATAAAAGCCACGGAATTTAAAAATACTACTGTTATTGTGTCATGAAATCTACAGTAGTTGTAATAGTTGTTTATGTCGACAATGTAGTTGTTTAAAGCTCAAATCTGTAGTTTATTTATAAAGATAGCACCTATTGAAAAATTTGATCTGACGTTTTCGGAGTTGTGAGGTCCAGGCGTTCACCTGGCGCTCAGGGCTCATGTACCCGGCCGAGAACAGCCTTACCTCGGCTAGTGCTTCTGACGTTTGCCGCTGGCACTGATGTCTCTAGTCTAGTTGTTAAACATGATATATAATTCATCTTGAGTATATCTAATAGGCGATCTTTGGTCTCACAAAAAGAGACAGGGTTGTGACATTTTATTTTATATAGCCTATGTAGGAATATTTCTAAAATATATAAATTATTTTATATATACACATTCTTTTCACTGAATGTAGGCCTATATAAAATAAAATGACATCTTTTTGTTAAATGTCAGTTTAATTATCAATATTATCATGTTTCATATTGTTTATATTATTCTGCAATTGATATTACATACATTGTATTTGCTGTTCTTATTATTATTGTAGTTTTATACCACTTGCAATTATCAATCTATTACAGCTATGCTGTTAAATGATTGTACTATTCATAGTCACTATTTAACTTATTATTTTTTATTGTCTATCTGTATACTGTAATTGATATTCCTTATTCAATTGCAATTATTATACATAAACGAAATACGTTTATCAATATTTGTATTATTATATTATGTACTTATGATACTATATAATTATACTATTCATTACTATTTTATTTGCTGTATGCTGTTTATTTTAATGACTAAATTATTTACTATTACTTCACTTTATCTTATATTTACCATATTTGTATTGCACTGTAGTTGTACCATATCATATGTTTTACCATAAACGATCCATCAGTTATCTCTGTTATTGCTAAAATCGGGTCAACCACAGAAAATGCTTTTTCCCCAATAAGAAAACTATTTAATTTAATGTAAAAATTATATTATATCTTCACAAATCTTATCCAAGAATAAAAAGCCAGATACAAGACAAGCCTGAGCTTTGACAATTCCTTATTAAAAAAAGTCTAACTATCGAGATTTTAAATAACTAGAGATGGAACTTTTTGTACACCAGGTACAAACCACTGAAATCAGTTGATAAATGTAATTTTTATTTATTTATTTTTTTACCAGAAAAAAAAAAAAAAAACACAGCTCGCCGTTTACTTGCATTTGATTACAGTGCAGTCTTGCCCTCCGCAAAATGGCGGACGCATTGGCGTATGGCAGCAACGCTCCAAAGCGCCCAATAGGCCGTCTATGTATTTATTATGTCTATGGCTACACATGCCTGTCTAAATCAGTAGTGGGAAAACTTCCTGATATTGGTCTCTACTGTTTTACCTGCTGAAGTTCTCGATGCAGACGCCATACTTAGTATCAGTGTAAACACGTCCAACCAACACCTTCAGCTCAGGGTCATATAGCAGTACAAACGACACATTGCCGGGATCTCTGCTCATTCACAGCCATGATAGAAAACAAAAACATTAGTCATTATTTAGAATGAAACATTAAATATTAATCAACATTAAATATGACTATTGTAACAAACAATAATGCTGAGTCTATTTAGAGCAGACTCAACTCCAGCAGCATTTTATACACAGAATAAATATATGATTTCAAAAACAATACAAAGAACAAAATAATTTTCAGGTTCACATTGATTATATATTAACACTACCATTCAAAAGTTTGGGGTCAGTACGAAATTAAGACTCTCCAGGAAGAATGCATTAAAATGATCAAAAGCAATAGTAAAGATAATTATGTTACAAAAGATTTCTATTCCAAATAAATACACTTCTTTTGACATTAATCATAAGAAATGCTTTTAGAGCAGCAAATCAGATCATATTAGAATGATCTTTGAAGGAGTAATGATGCTGAAAATTCCGCTTTACCATCACAGGAATAAATTATATAAAATATATTCAAATAAATTATAATATTATTCAACGATATTTCAGCTTTTACTGTATTTCTGATGAAATGAAAGAAGCCTTGGTGAGTATAATAGACCTCTTTCAAAAACATTAAAAAGAATAGTAAACAATAGTAATTATGAGAGGTGAAGAAGGTGTAAAATAGTGGAAGAAAGTTTTATTTATTTATAGTGCTAATAACATATTTCAAACAAATATAAACAACTGATGAGGAGGTCCACACCCAGATTTCCATCCCTGCTCTGATTATCTTATATGAAGATATGTAAACAAGCACAACATTGAAAAGCCAACAACCTGGGAGAAGTGCAGGTACGCAAGAAAAGTCAAAGTAGTACACTATAGATTAAAATATAGAGGAGCCTGTACTGCATACCGGTGTTCTGTCGATTTTTGCTGCCTTGTTGAAAAATGCTACCGTAGCGCGAATTGATCACAGAATGCCGATTAAAGTCGTATGAAATACAATTATAATACAATTCTAAGTTATGAGTAGCTACTGTATACTGTAGACTACTGTTTTTATTTTTAAAACGGTGTGAAAAGTAAAAATTATCATAAAATATTCATCTTTGACTTGACAAAGTTTACACAGGGGATATTTATTATTATTTATTTATTAGTGCACTTTAAAATACCATGTACGGTTGTTGTATGCTCCGAACACAATTTCGTTGCTGTCTTTTGGATAACAATGACAATAAACTGAACTGAACTTTCCTCATAGTAACAGAAACTTTCAGTTATTCTTTTTCAGCTGGCTGACCGTACAAATATTCATATGGTAGTAAGCATTTTTTAAAGGGAAATTATACATTATAACAGGAAAATGTACCTTTAGTAAAAAAAAAAAAAAAAAAAAAATGTGAGCCTGCACATGCACATAACTGGTAAGTAGCAAATCTCGATGGGTAGCATGAATTGTCAGAACACCGGCCAACTTCGAGCACTACCCTCAGGGCTTTATACTAGCACACAATAAAGGGCTGGGCAAAGTTTCACCTCTGTTTTCAAGGAAACCGTTTTGTTTTCTAATTATTTGGCATACAGGCATAATGCATGGTTACTGCAACTAACTTAAACAGGCTCAAGCTACAAAAGTAGAAGGAAACATTATGAGTCATGTCATTTCCTGTAAATGTCTTCCCTGCAGTGTTTTAAAATGCTGTTAAAATACTGAGAGAGGTATTCAGTGCTGTGTAACCGAGTTGTCACATGACATGTGACACTCCTGACCTGTGCAAATTTATCTTAAATTCTATTAGCAATAATACATACTTGTGATAGTCCTTTAATGACCTAGTGTCTGTTCTGGTTAATGACACAACACCGATGACCTCTATAATGATATAGTGAAGGGAAGAACCTGTTTGACAGGCTTTTAATCCAAGTATTACTCCTATATCATCTTAAACTATAGCTTTGAACTTTCTATAACCTTCTGTGATATAACCTGCAGGCTGAGAGGAATCAATATTTATTTTGAAAGACAATCATTTCCACCCATAGATGAAACATGCTGGATGTAGCGCATCTCTGCTGAATTTGGTAATTAGTGTTTTCTGAGGGTAAAATTAGAGGTTTGCCACATGACAATAAAGGGTTTTGGTAAATATGACTCATGCTAATGGACAATGAATTAAAACATATTTATGTTATAACAAAATAAAATAGCATGAAGCAATGTGAGGTAACCGATATCAATTCGCATGTGGGCTTATTTGTTTTGTAGTGAACTCACCTGGACATGTACAGGAGGAATGAATCCTTCACCACAAGCCAGCGACGGGACCAGCGGAAGCAGAACTGATGGTGTCCGATACAGTTGAGCCCCTGGATTCGGTGACCCCCGGACCGTTTCAGAATATAGCCTTCTCTGAAATAAACAAATAATCAAACAAAAACTAAAAGAAGAGTTGCAGAAATACATGTAAGCAACAATGGAACAGCACTAAAATCACAAAAGAAGAAACACACACAATCTGTACTCACAGGCCTTTGGGTCCAAGGTCTCTGATGAAGGACAGCGGACTGATTGCCAAGAAGTCTAACTGAGAGCATGATATACACACACGTTTTAGTATGCATGTATGCAACCAATATCTGTTAATATGAATATCAGTTAAAACCAAATCACATACCAGTCAAATGAATTTTTTTCTGACAATAATGTTAATTTCTTTTAAATTATGTTTATTTTAATTCTAAAACTGTAAAGTCTTTCTTTTATGGGTAGGGTGATTACATATATTTACAGTATGTGCGTGTATGCTTCTCACCAGCCCATGAAAGTTCCTGTAGAAGGTGTTCTCTAGCAAGTTGTTTAAATATTCCTCCAGATATTTCTGGAAAAAAAAATGTTTGTTGTTAAAACATACATAAACACCTTGTACAACAAGTTGGGTGAGCAACTTCTGAAGAGAACTTTGCTTTAGTACATATGTACCAGTTTGCTGGACGTTCTCCTGATTCTATCAGTTCCGTGTAAAGTCGGCATGTCCTCTGTCAAACCTGCCAGCTGTTGTCTCTGAATGGCAAATCTAATTCAAATCACAAGCAAAATGAAAGGAAAACACAAGGTCAAAACTCTAGGCCAAACAAATGAAGTGTTGTGAATTTGCATGTGTGTGCATGTGTGTGTGTGTGTGTGTGTGCGTGCGTGCGCTCACCTCCCCAGAGGCAAGAGCTGTAGCAACACTTTGTGTTTGTACAGGTCTCTGTGGAGCTCCTGGAAGTGCTTGTACTTTTTTTTCACTGTCCATGTGAACTCACCATGTGTCAAACGGACTGTGTACAAAGTGCACACATTTACCTACAAACAAGATATTTAGACAAGAAATCCAGGTGTAACGCAACAATACACTGTCAAGTAAAATATCACAAACGTACCTTGGAGCGGGTAGTGTATCGCTCCATGTTTTCCACTTTGCAGGTGATAGGTGTGCCATGAATGAGAGGAGGAATGGCTCCCTCCTTCAGGTCTGCTAGATGATGTACAATGAAAAAGTCACGCTCGTCTGATAGAGACACAGAAAGACAAGAATAAAGCCTATTGTGAAAAGGCTTTTTCCATTTGCCAAACCTAAAAATGTAAAACAATATAAGTGAAAAGTTTAATTGAGAAATCATCATGAACTTCTGTTTTAATGAAAGTTCAATTAACTCCACAAGTTTGTGTAAAACCCAGAGTAATAGTCCAGACCAGCTCACTCGAGTTTGACCAGAAGAGTCAATTTCATAACAAGACATGCTCTCGGATTCAGATTTAAAGACCATATTTTCATGGTCTTGGGCTCTTGGCCTTGTCGTGGACTCTGGAGCATTTGAACTCGGTCTTGATTTGGACTCGAATGAGCTGGTCTAGACTACAACACTGGTATGACTTAAAATGATCCAAAGAGCATATTGTACTTCAATGAGAATATCTTCCCATCAGTACAAAGAGTCACATGATCAATGTCACAGATTTCCTTATTTGATTGTGACTTAGAAATAGTGCAGAATCTGATAAACTATGTATTGTACACCATAATAATTCTTTGTTTATTGAATTAAATTTGAATCCCAGACTTTGGCCCCCCCGTTGACCAGACCAGCCACTGTGACAGGCCTCAGTATCAACAATGTTACATCACCAGAGGTCAAAGATCGGACAAGTCACTAAGTTTCAGTGTTGTGCTTTAAAACACAATCCTTCTAGAAGTATGTGAAAGAGAGAAAACAGCTGAGAAGCCAGCCACTCCTCTCTCTACATGTTTCACAATTTTTTTCACAAGGAAGTACAACAAACCCATTGTAAAACTTCCAATACCTGTTCATAAAGCATGACTGACAAGCGTACTTGGCATAAATAATCTTTTGTCCTTGGAGACAAACCAGTGATTTAAAAGAAGTATGTAAGTTAACTGTGAGTTGTTAAGCAAATAACTAATAACTTTTTTTGTTCTGTAATAAAATAAACACTGGGAAAATGTAACAAGCATAATGCCTGTCCCCTGAAATTCCTTAGTTGCAATGACAAACTAAGCACTGGAATAATCTGAGACATGGTTTCTATAAAATTTTCTTACAGCTCACATTGCAGGAGTCTTGATTGTCTATACCAGAAAACCTTCTGTGTTCTTGGAATGCGACACTGTAACTGCAAATATAAAAGGTAAACGTTCTTGTGACAAATATATGTATATATAAAAAAAGCTGTTGTGCTCTTTCTTTGTAGAGCAGAATTCTGCTGTCCCGTGAAATAAAGTCCACACTCCATTAATAGTAATGCGCTAATATTACGATTTTAGCCAACACCAATAAACCAATAATTATTTTCATGTTGTTCCATTTAAAACTCATCAATTATTAAAGGGATAGTTTGAGGATTAAGCATTAATCTTTGTATTAGTAGAAAACCTGTAGTATTTTCGAATTATCGTGCTTTCCACCCTCATATCCCCCTGTGTACGAGAGATTTATGTAATTTGTGTCTGGAAAAAATCCTCTGATGATGCAGAAGTCGCCATTCATTGTTTACATGCACACCTTTTGTTTCAATCTAACTGAATTCATTCCATTGGTGAATCGGTGATTGGTTTAATCCCGGACATTTTGGGCGATCTCAAAACACATTTCCGGGCACACTCATCACGGAGACTCACTAGTAGCCTAGACTTGTTGTTTAACGACTGCGCGGTTACCGGTAGGCGTGGCCTCCTAGTTCAGCGAAGCAAGTGCATTCTGGGAGTTGTTGTCTTTCATCCACATAAGCCGAAAGCTCATCTAGAAAGCTCCAAATTCAAAATTAATTTCACATTTCTTCTACATAAATGACGCATTTTAAATATATATTCATCTTTCCAGAGGTGAAGTATCCCTTTAATGTTAAAGGGATACTCCACTCTTTTTGGAAAGTTTTACCGTTTTCTAATCCATTCAGCCGATTTTCTGATATTTAAAAGAATATCAGTAATCAGACAGTTTCTGATATTCCTCTAAATATCAGAAAATCGGCTGAATACATTTTTTTAAAAAATGGTAAAACCCAACTGTTTAACTCTGGGGGAGTGGTAAAATGTGCTTGTTTCCAAAAAAAGTGGAGTATCCCTTTAAATGTCTAAACTATTCAAACAATAAAACAGACTAAAAATTCCAATAAGTTTTGAATTTGTCCATCAGGGTGTGGACAGCCAGACATGCAAACAATTTACATGGTGATCATAGCTATAAGGCAAGCAATGAACAAGCTAAAAATCCAATGAAAACTATGTGCACAACTGTGGTGCATATTCAAGTAAAAAGACATTACCTAAACGATCATGGTCTTTTGGGTTTACTTGAGTTACAGGCAGGTTTCAAACTTTGTGATCTGTTAATAAACACTATTGTAAGTGATTTGTCTCACCACTGTTGTTTTTGATAGATTTCAGCTGATCCTCAGTAAGGTCGCACAGCACGGTGTCCACACATTTTCTCCACCTTTGAGCTGCATTCTTCTCAGGACTAGCCATAAGGTTTCTGGACCACGACACACCTGTGCAAACACACCAACAAACGAACACCCACGCACACATAGAGGGGAAAAAAGAAGAAATTCACTTAGTTTTTTCAACATAGTTTTTCAAAATGCGAAACGTATATAAAACTAGACACAACAGTGTGTGCAGAATTATGAGGCACCTTGATTTTCTGATAATGTTTTTTTTTTTTCAGGCACATTTTACCAATTCCAAATCACATTAATGTTATTAACTACTATTAACTCATTATTCAATAATAAGTGATATATAGCTAATTGTTTATGAAGGCTGAAATGAAAAATGCCTTACAGTATATTCATGTGTGCATAATTATTAGGCACGTTTTCTTTTACAGATACAGTAAGCCAAAAAAAAAAAAAAAACTCATCCTGAAAAGTCAAAAATGATGAAATGCCCATTAGAAAGGTGCAATACCAAAGCAATACTAGAAATTGCAGTTAAGGCATGACAATTGGACAGTGAAATACTCATTGGGTCAGCAGGGTCAGACAAAAACAGATGGAGAAGAAAAGACACATGTTAACCGCAAAAGAGTTAAGAATTAAGGTGAAGAATTAAGTGTGAAACTATATCCGAAACCCTTTATTCTCCAGCACCACCATTTTCCAGAACTGCAACCTACCTGGAGTCTCCAGAAGTGCAAGGTGTCAGGATCGCTGAGAATTAGGTTAGGTAGAGAATCCTAAAAAATGACCCCCGCTTAATAATAATCACAAGCTGAAGTGTAATAAACATGAAGGCTGTTTTTTTAGGCTATATAGACAGATAGATTGAGAGTGACTCTTGGACCAGCACCACATCCGCTTGTAACACTGTTTGAAGAATTCATCTTCCAGAATCTGGCAGTAAGTTTCGGGGGTGCATTTTAGTCCATCTCCTACCTATTAAGTCCATATAGCACTAAAAAAACCTCCCAAAACTAAGCTATCAAGATTTAGGAAAGTTTAAGTGGGGTTAGGATTAGGGTTAGGACATTTAATTTTCATGTCTATGCTTAAAAAGAGATTCAAATGTAAGAAATAATTTATAACTATTCCACAAATATAACTTAGTACTGTAAAATCCCCTAAAAATACAAAATATTAAATAAAAAACATTATTGAACTAAAATATAGTACATTCATTTATTTTATTTTTGACTGCCGCACGAGCAGCTCCAGAGGGTTAGTGCTGCAGGAAGGAGAGAGATGGATAGAGATCTGGGCTTCTAAAACAAAGTTCACAAGTTTAATAGCAGGTGTGGAGCTTCAGGAACTAAAGAATCATCTAACCATTCATACCAGCTGTATCAACACATTTTAACTTCTATATGCTATTTGTTATATTATTTGAAACCAATACGCTGATTTCACACAGCTGCCATTTTGAAATCGAAAGCGAGGCTCCGGTGGGAAGAACTACCTGCCTTGGACTACCAACCTGAAGCTGCTGCTGCGATTTACACTATTGGATGTTAATATTGGATATGTAAATTGTTCGTTCCTGCTTATTTTTTATGTTCTGAATTATATATAAAAAATAATTCTATTTCACTGTATATAGTCTAAAGTATGAAAGAAATGTGTGTACATTTTTAGAATAACTAATTTCTACATTAAACACAACCATACGCCATCGCGACTCTCCAGTCCTGTTATTAGAGGCGACACTTCCGGGTTTTTTTTCCCACCGGAGCCATTTCAAAATATGGAAGTGTGTATCGTTCCATTATCTTCTTTGTATTTATTCTGTGATGTATTATTCCCCTTTAATTATTTGGTTATTTTATTTGCCAAATATATATATATATATATATATATATATTTTCATATTTTGACAGTTTGAATTTAATTGTAAAGCAATTTAATTGTAAATCAACTTAAGTCGCATAGCATAATATGTATGAAAAGATGTATGATTAAAACATTAATTATTGTTATTACTGTGTGTGTATTATTCACAGGCGCAGGATTTGTCTGCACAAATGTTATTATCACATAATCTGTATTTATTTAAGAACAAGTAAAAATAACTAGGACAAAAAAGCTCAAGCGCGTGTGGCTTTTGGACTCAATCCAGATGGTCTTTGGGCTGAACTGCATTGAATTTCTAAAGCAACTTTGCCACTAAACAAAGGATTACGACATTCTAGCAATACAAAAACTGCACTTCAGCTGTGGCACAGATAACTCACTGACCTATCATAATATACAAATCATTCTTGGGTTGAGACGAATAAAACAAAACAATTGATAACTGATTGATTTCAGCAGATTGGACAGTGGACTTTACTTCTAAATCATGTAGTACAGTCACAGCGTCCAAAACTGCCTACTGTACAGTGGGGGCTACATTTGCTTTGCGACCATTTAAAAACGAAGCTCTATTTAGTATGACTGTGTGCAGTATAGTTGAAATTCGGACGTACGACACTTTCACTGTCATGTGCTTTACAGCGTCAGTTGTGTCGCTTCACAACTATTCATAACTCCTCTAAGTGGCCTAAAGTGTCCGTCAGATGTGCACTTCAGAATCTTGCCGGAAGTAGCGAGTCATCCATTCACCATTCACCGGCTATTTTATGAATTTGGATATACAACTTGGAAGTAAGTAAGCGTATTCTGACAGGAATTGGTTCCCAACTCTGTTCTTGAAGACACCTCAAAAGCACATATTTTGAATATCTCTCTCCTAAATCAAACATGATGAGACAACTTGGCAGCGCATTAGAGATTTCAACACCTGAAATATAGGCACGTCTGACGAGCGAGAAATCCAAGACATTGTGGGGAACCTCAAGGAACAGATTGTGAAATAGTGCTATTGTAAGTAATTAACAAAGCAGAGTAAGATACCTCCGGTAATATGATATTATGTCTCTGAGATTCAGTAACGACACTGGATATTACTCTGACATTGTCACTGACACAACTTACAAACTTACAAACAACAACAACAAAAAATTAATACTATTGGTTAAATTGATCAAAATTAAACTTTAAATTGTTGTAAAAGATTTATATTTCATTTAAACTTTCTAGTTATCAAATAATCCTGAAATCTCAAAAATGTAGGGGTGGGGGGGAATCGATTAAAGCAGCATATTAAAATGATTTCTGAAGAATAATGTGACACTGAAGACTGGTGGCTGCTGAATATATTTTCAGCTTTGCCATCACAGGAATACATTATTATTTTTTTTTTACAAATTGTAATAAAACTTATTTTACTATATTTTTGATCAAGTAAACTAAGCCATGGTGAGGATAAAATACTTCTTTCAAAAACAAATTTCCCTTTTGAATGGTAGTGCATTATAAATTCTAATATTTTAAGTCAAAAAGGAGAACAGTAGGCTATACCAAGAGAGAGTATAAACCTTATACACAGCAGCAGCACCATCTTTGAAAATGAAAGCAAGGCGGTGAGGGTTGTCCTGTTATTTCATGTGTTTTTGGATTGTTCTGCTGTCAAAAAGAAATTTAAGCAGATGAAAAAAACTCCAGACACCATGAGCTGTGGAAAATTATGAGTGATTTAGGAGCTTGTGCCGCTTTTTACAGCAGATGCCATTGAAAATACACTAAGGCTAAGCCTACCCCTCACAGCTTCACTTTCATACCTGTCATGGCGCTGCTCTGAATAAGGTCTGTGACCACTGTCGCCAGGCAACCAGGCTCCAGGTGAAACACTAGACACAGTGGGAGAGAGAGAAGTTCAAGTAAACTTGAGCTGGAAGAAAGGGAGGGGGATGTTAAACAAATCATAAACGTAAAAAAAAGATAGCAGATAAAAAACTATCATAAAACCATGTATCAGTAAAATGATTTGTAGTTCACTCTCGAGATACTGCAGCTGTATGCATTTGATTTACAAATGTGTTACTCTTTTGCCTAGATATGAAAACCACAGCTACAAATCACTTATTAGTAGGAACTGTGCCCATGAATCAATTATATGTGATTTCCTGAAGAGCAATTTACCTGATAACATCTCAAGCTGTTTACAACCACAATGAATTAACAGATATTCTTGGAATGGAAAAGGGTAGTTCACCAAAAGAAAAAAAAAAGAAAAAAAATCACTCACACTCATGTTGTTCCAAACCCGTACTTTCGTTTGTGTTAAGAATACAAAGTAAGATATTTTCTAATGAAATCTGAGAAAATTTCAGCAAAGAATACAAAGTAAGATATTTTCTAATGAAATCTGAGAGATATGTACCTAGATTGACAGCAATGCTACGGTACTACCACTTTGATGCTACAAAAAGATAATAAAGAGATTGCAAATCAAATTCATTAATTGAATGGTAGAATATCTGAAGAGACACAATCACTTTTAGCTTTTATTTAGGCCTACATTTTAAAATTAATAAACTCACACGTGAATCGAATGGAAGCCCCCCGGATGGCAATTATGACTGATATCTAACTAATTCTCGTATCCACTTCTCACTTTCTGTTCCGTGAGCAGTGCACACACACCTCTTCAAAAATCTCTCCAACCTGCTTCTTCCTGGCAACCCGGATGCTGTCCACTAATAATCCTTCAATAGTCAAGAAGAGGATGTGGGAATGAAGAGTGTAACGTTAGCCCGTGCCCGTGAGCATCACACGTTTACGGTGCAACAAATGCTGTCTAGATAGGCAGTTCACAGTTTTTGGGACGAATCCATGTTTATGCATCGCTGAACTTCATCATATCGTGACCATTAACATTCCTGTCTCGTGTTGGGACACCCTTCACTCGCCACATAAAACGAAACTCTAAAACCTATTTAAATAGTTGCTTTATAACATCGTATGAATTTTATAACAATAATGAATTTCACAAATTGTAAGGACAAGCGTAAGAATTATATTTTACAATAATACACTGTTGAAAATGTGCGAAACCACATTTTCCGATGCACGGTAACTTAATCCTCTTTCTAAACAATACTTTCTTAAATATTACTCACCAACAAGGAAACTGTCGCGATTAAGTGTTTGTTTTGCTCTTTGTAGTTTCGTATGTTGTTATTTCCAAGTTATACTCAAACTTCTGGATAACTTTTCCCCATCACAACTCCCAAGGCGTAGTAGTAGGTTTGCTGCTGTAACATTCAACGTAGACAAACTTGAGAGGCAGAATTTACCGTAAAGCCCCGAGAATGATCTCCAGCAAGAATCCATAAGTGCGTATGCAGCTACCTTTTACATGCCCATTCTGGCGCAAATAGAAATGTGGTCCGTTTAGAGAAACATTCCGTAAATATGTTATCTCTATAAGTGTTGTCTGATTTATTAAAACAAATATTCCCCAAGTGCATTTGTCATTGGCGTAAACGTCCCGCAACCACCGTCATTTGCGTAGATGCGATGCGTCCAGCTGCACAAGAGATACGCAGCGTCTTGTAGAATATCCTCAGAGGCGCTGATGGAGCATCTCTCCTGGTGGAACAGTAGATTTATGAGTAGGCTACTCTAACACTGATAATATGCATTCCACACTCAGAGAGCTTGGACCACAGGAAGCACATTAGGCTGCTACACGACAGAAACCTCTGGGTAGGCTATGGCAGGAAATTAACACCCTCAGTGCACTAGGGCTTATAGCAACAGCAGAGGAAATCGTCATTGTGGAATTAAAATTACCGTTTAAACAGGCTCACCCTTTTCACATGAAACCATTTCACATGTGCTCTGTAAAACATATTTTGTATAAATATATAAAAAAATATTTTAAACTTGTAAACTGAAATGTAACTGAAGTCAGAGAGTTTACAAAGTTCCTGGCAATAAATCCCTCCACTTTTATACGGATATCTGCAAGCAGCGATGAAAAAGGCCCTTGCACCCGTCCCACCGCCACCCAGCGGCTTTAATAGCACTGAGGGCAGTATGTAAATATAGCAGGACTATGTCAAAGTCATTCGTATTTGCCACATTTCCTGCTACCATCAGGTAGGTAGCGCTATTACTATGTGTTGCATGATTTAAAAGGTTTTTAGCATGTTTGGTAGGCTATCTTTCTGAGAGTTAATTACAGTGTAAATCATGCCACTTCCTGTTGTCAGAAGGTGGCGCTATTACTAACTGAATATTGTCATGTAGATCATGTGTTCAGGATAGGAGGACTCTTATCAAACATGTGAACTTTGGGGCAGATCAGACATTGTATGCCTGATTTACAACAGCTTCATCTTTCTTGGCGAAACATCAGAATTCGCCAGGCCGCCACAGACAGTGAAAACTCAAAATCTTCAGAATTTATCACCGCTAAGGCCTTAAAATTAGACTGACCATATATGATATTGATCTGGTTAAATCTCTCTAACCGTGCATTCACACCGCCGCCGGTGAGAGCGCCAAAGGTCGCTCTTGCCGCCCTGGCAACGATGCCGTGGAAAGATTTGTAGATGCTCAGACGTGGATTGAATGCTTGGTCTTTTTTAAAACTGTAGCCGCGTCCCAATTCGCCTTCTTACTAGGTCCTAAAAGTATGTACTCTTATTGTGAAGAAAAAGTACAGAAACAATGCTCAGGTAGGCTGTGGCATTTAAACGATGCCCAATTGGCACTAAGGGGCCTAAAGTCTGTCCATTAAACATCCACCACACCATTACACCAGCACCACCAACCTGCACAGTGGTAACAAGGCATGATGGATCCATGTTCATTCTATTTACGCCAAATTCTGACTCTACCATCTGAATGTCTCAACAGAAATTGAAACTCATCAGACCAGGCAACATTTTTCCAGTCTTCAACTGTCCAATTTTGGTGAGCTCTTGCAAATTGTAGCCTCTTTTTCCTATTTGTAGAGGAGATAAGTGGTACCCGGTGGGGTCTTCTGCTGTTGTAGCCCATCCTCCTCAAGGTTGTGCGTGTTGTGTCTTCACAAATGCTTTGCTGCATACCTCGGTTGTAACGAGTGGTTATTTTAGTCAAAGTTGCTCTTCTATCAGCTTGAATCAGTCGGCCCATTCTCCTCTGACCTCTAGCATCAACAAGGCATTTTCGCCCACAGGACTGCCGCATACTGGATATTTTTCTCTTTTCACACCATTCTTTGTAAACCCTAGAAATGGCTGTGCGTGAAAATCCCAGTAACTGAGCAGATTGTGAAATACTCAGACCGGCCCGTCTGACAGCAACAACCATGCTTTTTTTTGAGCCATGCTCAAAATATGTTATCAGCTATGCATTTCAGAAATGTACAAAATGTATTTATATAGCTAAATTTATACAGGTAAGCTGACCAATGTGCTTTGCATAACAGCATTAGGAGGCCTACACAACAGACAACCAAACAAAATTAAAATACAAATTACAGATTATTAAAAGCACCTGAATAAAAATAGGTTTTCAGACGCAACTTGAAGTTTGACAGCCGATCAGCCTTATACAGACTCTACACAAGTTGCGTAGGGCCCCGCATATCAGCCTACACAAGGCCCCGTCTCCCCCTTGTGTCAAAGCACGTCAGCAACTGTGGGAACAGCAGTCACATTAGGCAGACTTGTGTTCTCTTCTCTAAAAGATAACCGCGTCGCAGGTTAAAGGTGCTCTAAGCGATGTCACACATTTTTTAGGCCCAAACATTTTTTGTCTCATACAGCAAACATCTCCTCACTATCAGCTGCCTGTCCCCTAAACACACAGAAAAAAAAACGCTGTCTATGCAGACAACCCAGGCTCCACAATTGGCAACAAAAACAAACTGCGGCAACCCGCTCCACGAAACATAACAAACTATTCCAGCCAATAACTGACAAGAAGGCCCTGGGGGTGGGGTTTGGAGGTCAGATGTGACTGTGTGGCAATGGTAAATGGTTTAAATGGGTCAGGTAGGAGGGCCCCTTAACACAATTTTGCTTTGGGCCCCAGGGACTTCAGGACTGGCTCTAGGGTCATCTCACCATCGGTGCTCGGGCCCTAATTATAAAGAAACAATAACGGTCCTCTCACCATCGGTGCTCAGGCCCTAATTATACACACATACATATATTCACCATTAAGTTTTCTGTACCTTTACATATTCAAGTAAAACCTGTCTCAGAAAAAAAAAAAAGAAATATGACAAAGGATGTCACTGGATTCTACAATTTTGTACTTTATTTAGCCCTCAAGGGTGCATATTAGTACCCTAAAGGTAGTATAGTATTACCTATAGTATTACCTTAAAAAAAGCGTAGCTATACAAGTACATACTTAAGAGTTCTGCCCCATAGAAAGCTTCTGTAAAAAAAAATAAAAAGTCGAGCGGTAGTCGAGCTCAAAAATGAATCTCATAGATCTTTACTTTGAATATGTCAGTTATTTTATTCTCTGTCTTTGTTGCATGTAGAAAATAGTACAGCACAGTGCTTAAGGATTTGAAACTTTTTTTCTTGTAAATTTCCAGTGCATATCTTAAGACCGTTTTAATTAATATATGTGTGTGTGTGTGTGTGTGTGTGTGTGTGTGTGTGTGTAAAACTTACAGTAAATAATAAACTATGTAAAACTGCATACGTGAAATTAAACATTTTAAATGACAATGAAATACATAAGATAGAACAAACAAAATGAACATGCATCTTAATAATACTAAAGCTAAATACTATAGTACAATCAGTTATAAAAAAGGGTTTGATGTAACACACTGTGAACAGTAACACACTGTAAACAGAGACGATAACCTGCGTTGGGGTGTTGTAAAATGCAGCCACAGTCAACTGGAAAACCATTACATGGTATGAAATGAGCTGAAATCTTTAGCTAATTTATTCCTTGTTATTTCACTAAACCTTTTCTTTCTTTTTTTGCACAACTATAAGCATAATGTATATTCCTGTAAAAATCCCCCTAGAGTAAGTAATATTTAATACAAAATGTTAATGCATGCATGGACAACCATAGTTCCAAATATCAAATATAAAACAAGATCTCATATCAAGTCGAACGATACTGTTCAAATCATGTACAGCTTGTCGTACTTCAACTCCAGATATAAAACTTGGCCAACTATTTTTTTATGTAGTAAAGAAATTGCCTCTTTGTTCGTTCCATCTATCTACCTGTTGGACAGAGTCTTCAGAGCTTCTTCTCTACTCAGGCAAGTACTTTTTGTTCTCCCAAGAAAATGGGTACTCAGGTGCCTGGTTGAAGTGACCCATGAGGAAGATGGCCACTGTTCCAACAGAGAATAGCAATATGGCTGCCCAGAAACAAACCTTGTCAATCATCTTTCCAATCAGAACCCAACTCTCCATCTCCTGAGAAAAAAAGAGGAACAACATGATGAAAAACAACATACGTAAAACAGTGTGTTGGTGGAGACGACGGTACTTATGATGTTTCTAAAATTGTTCTCTTGCTAGGACACAAACACACGCTTACCGATCCGATGTCATTCTGGTGCTTAGTGGATTCAGCAATGAAGTTACAGGCGTCCACACACTCTTTTATTTCTGGTGCTGTCTTTGCCAGACTCTTATATAGGTTAGCCGTACTGCTCACATCAATTTCATCCACTAGAGGGAGACATACACAAACACATTTGAAGCTACAACAGAATTAAACGTTTTTACACACTACCCTAACACCTAATTTTCAAATTTGGCATGAAAAAGAAGTTGAAATGTTTTGGGGTTTTTTCTTCGTATAGCCGACGGCTTCTGGAATGAAAAAAAATAAAATAATGTAGGGCCGGACTGGATTTCCTCTTCGGGAATTGATTGGATCATAGGAAGTTGGTCTTTTCCAACTAAATGGAGGCAGATCTGAATACCAGTTTACAATCAGTTGTGGAGGGTATTTAGTCTCACCCTCAGCTGAGACATACATCATGAAGAGAACAAATGTTATTTCGAGGGGGAGGGGAGGTTAGCATATTTGATTGAGAGTGCACATTAATTAAAAAAAACAAAAACAATGATGTGCACGGACATTTCCTTCATAATAAACACTTCATTATGATTTATCCGTGCACATCATTATTTCTTTAAAATACATGTGCCCCAATAATCTTTTCCCCTCCGTCTTGTAACGCCATCTCATCTACTGGCACAAGGGAGAGACAACCTGTCACTCAGATTAGATCACAGCAATAGCAAACCACAACCTTTCAATTAATTCCTAATGGACAAGATCAAGTTCAAGCCCTACAAGAAGCCGTTTCACTTGGATACTTCCAATTTATGCCGACTGACCACATTTATGCATCTGTAGTTCACTAAATTACTCTATAATGATGAATTTTTTATGTAAGTGAATGTTTGAATTTGTTTTACCAATTGAGCGCATGAGTCCATGTCTTTCTCTCTGTTTATCAAACATCATCTCACTGCGTGGCTGTTTCAAAACATATTCCTCTGCCCTCTGCATCAGCCCAAACGAACTGCGGCGCCTCTCCCTCATTTCATACGTCCCTCCAACTGGCTCCTCCTCATCCACAAGAGAGGCCATACCAAGGAAACGAGGGACCACCACGAGGAAAATCTAGTGGAAGTACAGTAAAAGAAGGACTACATTCAGTGATATTCATAATTAGGAAATGTGATATATTTAGGACAAAACACACATAAACGCACATGTTTGATGGTGTGCGACATGTTGTGTGTACTAGGACTGCGGAGGGAGAAGTTGAGGACAATGATGCAGTTGGTCACGATCAGTGTTGTCATACTCATGACGAAAATTAAATACCTAAATCAAAGCAAGAAAGAATGGAATTAAAGCCAGTAAGACTGATGAAACTTGGTTTAAAAATTCAGCTGTCTACACACTGACACTCACTTGCCAATCAGAGGCACGGAAAGTGACGTTTCTGGAATCTTCTGAGCAATCAGAATGAGAAACACAGTCTGAGCCAACAGTACAGAAATGGACACAGTCAACTTCTGCCCTCCAGCTAAAAGAGAGAGAAAGAAAAACAAACAGTGTACAGAGACAGACAGAGTGAAAAAAGAGATATGACAGACAGAGGGAGTACCACTACCAACACTGTAAGACAAATAGAAAGGGATACTGTATTTTGAGGCATACTGTACATTAACCTCAGAATATCTACAGATGCAAACACCTTGTGCAGGTAGAAAAAAGGCCAGAACAACCAGAGAGGAGATGAGAGAGCAGGGCAGGATGATGTTGATGATGTAGAAGAGTGGTTTTCGCTGGATGATGAGGTTGAAATACACTTCCTGGTACTCTAGGTCATCGGGCGAGTAACGCGAGTCAATCATCTTACGGGCGGGACGGTGCTTGATTGCCCACTCCCCGTTTTCTGTGAGTACATATAATTAGAGCATCGATGGACTTTCCTCTTAGTATCCAATATGAAGTAATAAGTGCTTTGTACATTGATGTTGTACAACTGTGAATTTATATATATATTATATATATAAATATATATAGAGTTTCATTATTTTTAATCGGTTCATTGACATTTTTTGTTTAAAATTTTGAATACATTACATTACCGTTCAAAAATTTGAGGTCTATAATTATTCTTTATGTTTTTGTGTGGAGTCTCTCATGCTAAGCAAGGCTGCATTTTATGATCAAATATATAGTAAGAAAAAAACATTTGTTAAATATTACATTTTCAAATAACTGTTTTCTATTTGAATATATTTTAAAATGTTATTTATTTCTGTGATGGCAAAGCTGAATTTTCAGCAGTCAACTCCAGTCTTCAGTGTCACATTATCATAAAGAATTCATTTTAATATGCTGATTTGGTGCTCAAGACATATTTCTTCTTATTATCAAAGGTATAAACTGTTTTTTCGGTTTCATATTTTGTGGAAACTGGAATGTATGTTTTGAAGGATCCTTTCATGAATAGATATTTCAATAGAATTTATTTGAAATAAAACATTTAGCAACATTATACTGTAAATGCCTTTACTGTCACTTTTGATAAAATTAAGTCGGTCCATTTCTCGAGATCTCAAATATGTGTGTCTGTGAATAATAAATCGTAAATTGTGCACCTGTGAAGGCCTCAGGATCGATCTCCACCCACTCAATAGGCTTCCCTGTTTCTGCATCTTCTGCCAATACCATAACAATTTCATTTGCACTGTATGTCTGAGACCTGTAGATGTAAAATAAAATATTTCTAGTTTTAAATAGAACAAAATAATAAAAATGAAGAAATCATGAATCTCATGAGACTCAAATCTCACTCTGTGCCAACCTGAAGACTAGTGTGCAGTTCTGCCAGTCAAAAGGGAAGTAGGTGATCTCAATGGTACAGGTACTGCGATAGATGGCAGGGGGAAGCCAGTACATGGAGCCGTCACTCGATATCAACACATTAGCGTAGTATGCCACATCAAACTTGCCATCGATGCTGTGAAGAGAGTAGAAAAGAGGTCATTTTTCAAGTGACGAGAACAAAACTATTGGAAAACGTACTCTTTTACTGCTAGTGCTAACTCACTTGTTTTCCAAAACTATGTCTGGTAGCCACACAGTGTTGTATGGCACACGGATCGTATCAATGCCGTGATATTCAGATGTATTCCATGCAAGACGGTAATCCTGCCATTGCTAAAGATCAGAAACATGAAAGAAGAAAAGCAGGAATTAGCAGGACATAGAACAGAAAAAAAAGAAGTGCAGACAGACACATGTACAATATTATAAGACATTTTAGATTATAATAGGAAGAAAATAGGAGAGAGAACATTTTTCAGAAAAAAGATCAAGTAAATATGGAGAGATGATGCAAAGGAATAAAAAAAAATAAGAAAAAAAGTACTATTTTATAAAAAGTAATATTTTTCATCTTGAAATATATGATAAATTAAATAAATGATTATGAAACATTAATTATTTCTTTGAATAATCTTGAAGTCCATTCACACAAATCAAGTTTTTGTATCCTACTGCACTGCGTATTGTTTTTCTGTAAACACACGAGACAGACGTCTTTAAATGTGTAGAACGCTCTGCCAAGTTTTTTTTGAAAACATTTTGAAAAATGTTTTTTTTCTTTTTTCACACTAGGTATCATATTTTTAGTCTGCATGAAATGGAAATTCATCTGGTTAAAATGCATGTTATTGCTTTTTTTAAGCACATAATTTTTAATAAGTGTTCTGGGAAAAGTCAGCTCTCTCCTTTGTGATGTATGCTTGACTTCTATAATCATTGAAATCTGCTTAAAACCTCTCCTTTTTTTTTTACAATGGACTGCAAGCTCTTAAACTGCCTCTATCTAATCAACAAACAGTGAAGAGAAGAGAGTACTATTCCTACACCCTACATTGTTTTCTTTTTCGATGATCTGTTTCACTTAAATGCATGAAAAGATTTGTCGTTACTTTTGTTACATTACGACTTTAAACGTAAAAACACGTTTTGTGTGAGCGGCCCCTAGAAGGTTGCATAAAATACTTACAATCTCAATCCAAACATTTGTAGTGAGAGTCTCCTCTTTTTCATTCTGTTCAGGGAAGAAAAGTTTCTAAATGTAATTGGTCTCTAGCGGTTGCACTGTGCACAGTCCCTATGGAATGTATAATTGAATTAACTAGAAAGTAATCTACAAACATTATCTAAATATTGCCAAAATATTTTATAATATACTAGCAATGATGTACATGCACATTTCTAAAACTATTTTTATGTTATTTGAAATATTTCATATTATATTTATTTTTTACAGCTATTTAGATCATTGATACATTCGTATTGATATTTGTCTGTTTACTAAAAACTCACAATACGTGTTACTGTTGGCATTAGTTACCAAGGAGATGAGGTTGGTAAGGGTCAACTTGACCTGAACCTTCACTTTTTCATCAATGTTTCTTGCTGGTCGAATATTTTTATTGTAGTTCTTAAACTTATCTGCAATCAACTGCCTCTCCTCATTTCCACTGACTGCAAAATAAAGAATGAAAGATAGAAATTAGCTTTAAAACTTACTAACAAATACATTATTAGTAGACATATTGAATAAATTAGTAAAAGTGTGAAAACAGAGTTTAGAGAACTTAGCCTATTAATAAAAGTTAACATCGTAATATTTCTGATTTCCTGGAAAGATTTATCGATTATACCGCAGTTTTCATTCCATTGTAATGCGTGTACACAAGATTCCAAATCATTACATAAGATGCATTAGCCATTTAATACTTTACTGACTCAGCACTGTAAACCCAATAAAGCACAGTCGCTTACACTGCAGTAACCCCTAAACACAATGTTAATTTTTGTAACAGCTTTATATTGGCAACATTGTTATATTATTAAATATCCGCAAGTTAGAAAGGACCTTTATAGAATATAATGCACTTCAATGTAAATCTGCCCGCGGTCACAGTGCATTGGCAAGTGTGATAAAGACGGACTGTTTGAAGTAGCTACACAAGAGCACGTACCTTGTAATACCAATACAGTGGCCACGAGCGCAAAAGCAAATACACACGTCCTGCCGAACCGGTCGGCCATGGCCATGGTCGCCAAAAGACGGTCTTGAAAGTTGGTAACAAAGAGACAGACACGTTACTTTCCAGCAGTCAGTAGTAACCCTTCTCTTCGGTGCAACAGCTGTCACTGCACGAGGCTCGAGTTACAGAGGCTCTTAAAGTCACATTCACTAATCACCAATATCATAACGCCACTAATAATAAGCAACATCCGTGGTGGATCTAGAGATTTTTTCAGACATTATTCAAAATTTAAAATGCTAGGTTTTCATTGAATGTTTTTTGTTCTCTACACTAGGCAACACGGAGTGGGAGTCAAATCAGATATGTAGCTGGGTTTTTGGATTGTGTGGGTCTTAATTTGTGTATTTGTGGACCCTTTTACTGTGTAATCAACATCAAGTCTATACTTAAATTGTACTTTGTGAAAAAGCAGTTCTTGGGGGGTTTTCGGGGTATATGCTCCACAGGAGATTAAAAAAATGCAGTTTTGTCAAATGTAAAAAATAGCATGTTGGTTAAAACCTGTCGTACAATTCATTCATCCATCCATGTCAATTGAATCTTAATCCTAAGTAAAATGTAAATACTTTGACTAGATACATAGGCCTACTATTGTATTCCCATGAACAGCTGTTAACAATGTTACCGTTTGTTCTCTCTTGATCATGATTTTTGCAAGTTTGGTCATGGCACTGATACATTGAATGAAATACCAGTCTTCAATAAACCATTTTTGTACCAAGTCTGACCAATTTCTGCTGGTTGAAGACTTTGGTGGTGTTCAGATGTAGAATGTAGTGCAGAATTGTAATATAGAATTTTTGTTAACCAAATGTGTTTGCTCACATATCATAGCATATATAGCCTATATGTCCACAACATTTGTATGTTAACATTTTGTATGTTAAAAATATCTGAATTGACAGAGCTCGGGAACAGGATGAAAGCTCTGTGATTACAAGTAATACGCACAAGAAAAAAAGGAAATTAAAATGGTCAACTAAATTCTTTAAATATAAAACAAAAGAGAAGCAGATAAGTAGTAAGTCTGTGAAAATCCTCTCAGCCATTCACTGAACAGGAGAGATGCAGAAATAGCGAAGGCAGGGAGAAAGTAAGAGCTCGCCCTCGCTGGATAGTACTGGCAACATTTGGAGTTTACTTGGCTTTGTCTAAAAAAGTCGCTATTTTTCGCTAATCTTCTTTAAAAAAATTAGCTAATGGGGTTTGAAAAGTCGCTAAATATAACGACAAAAGCGCTAAGTTAGCAATACTGCGCCTACTGGAGGGGATTCTAAATCGACGATTTCTGTTTGAGAGGAGTGTGGTGTGGGTCTCGTTCGTATTTATAGCACGAATGTCATTTCTCGTGCCATTTATATGCCAAAAACAGTTTTTTCTTGTATATGGTATGCATACACACTTTTTGGCGTGTAATACCAGCCCATTCTGGAAGCATTTGACCATGCTTCAATATCTGACGCTTTAGGCGCCCTTTAGCGTCAGTTAGATGATATTGAAGCATGGTCAAAGGTGGCGCCTTGGGGTGAGAATGTGTTGGTAATATGCACAAACTTCCCACCCCCTCCCCCCTAAACCTACTCCTAAACCTACCCCAGGGTTTTTTGTGCGTATAGCACATACACGCAAAAAACATTTTTGGAATATAAATGCCACGAGAAATGACATTCGTGGTATATACGCATTTTCATGAGACTGTGTTGGTCTCCTTGGCTTTCAACGTGTAGGCTATGAACAAAATATACTTAAAACATATTATCTGATTTATAAATGGGGTGGCAAGACTGTATCCCAGGGATGGCAGCTGACACCCTTTGCCACCCATATTATGTAGGTAGGCCACATCTCTGTAAGTGGTCTCAGATATTATGAAAAGAGCCAAAAAACATCCTGAAATGAGTGTAAATTTCAAGTGCCAGTCGCTTTGGGTCACTCAACTGCTGCGCGAGCTCATGATGATGCTTACAGTCGGGCATTTCGAGTATCGTAATAGATTAATGACGATTCGTATAACGGTTATTGATAGTGTTGTTCAGCCTAAGGGAATAGTGTTTCAGTCTGAAGATATGATAAGCAATGTCAACAGGTGTACGAGAGGGGAGGGGGGCTTAAGGGCCATAGTGTTGATGTCTCCCATGTACATGGGTATAAATAACCAGGGCTCTGCTCCATGTATCACTGGAACAAAGTAAATGCAGGGGTTATAGAGCCAATGGTGTGTTGTGTTGTATTTGCCTACACTCTGAACAGTCTGTAAAAATAGGCTCCAATGTTAACATGAAGGATTTTTCAGTATTGATTTTTTCACTGGTGTTCAACTTGTATTTTCAATTACACATAACGTAAACTAACAGATACGTTAGTTTATGGCAGAAAAATGCTAGTTTCTTTTGCCAGATTTTTCTTTCTCACATTGTACATGGGGACCATTTGTCCTCAAACAAATATAAAACTTGAAATAATTGGCATGTTTTATGAGGAAAACCCCTATAAATGCAATATGGGTTTGGCAGTAGGGGTAGGGGACAGATAATATTATAGCTCAGTATCAAACCAGTATCTTTCATCTATAAGAGATGTCTGAGTGGTGAGCTCATGTACAAAATGTCCTGCATGACAGGTTTTAAATGATTTATAGGTCCAGCAGCACACACTATGATAACTGACACTACACAATAAAAACTAAAGGTGCCTCAAATATCCTGTCGGATACTCAAGGAACTTCAAAATGTAATTTAAGTGCCTCAAAGCTGTAAACCCGAATAAGTAAATCCGAATTGATTGCCTCAAATTTTTTACGTTGATTAACTTAAGTCAGAATTTTACAGAACTTAAAAGAGGTTGGATTACCTGCTATTTGTACATTTTGATAACAGTTCAATTCAGCAAATATTTGCAGTTAATATGACTTACAGTTTTTTGTTAAGGCAACTCAATTATTATAACAAAGTTTTGAGTTTTCACAGAACTTTAAAAAAATAAGTGCACAACCACATAATTTTATGTTAACAAAAATGGGGGGGGGGGGTTGCCTCAATTACATTTTATCTAGAGTTTATCTACATTATCTTAATCTTATCTCTAAAAGTAAACATGTCTGAAATTTAACAGTATTTTCTTGCCCACTCACTTTTAGCTCACTGCAATGTTTAAAAAAAAAAAAAAAAAAAAAAAAAATATATATATATATATATATATACGTTTATAAATTAAAATAGAACAAAAATAATTGTAAAATATACTGAGCCGCAAAAAGAAGATTACTGGATTATTTGCAAAGTAATTGTATTAATCTTCCAAATGTGTTCCTGGTCACTTAAGGCATACAGAATAGATATTTATCATGAATGTCTAATATTGACCAGACAACTAATCAAATTTTTGCATTGTATTGAACTAGACAAGTGTACATAAGAATGGTTTCATGAATGATTTTCACAATTTTGTTCTGCTTGTGTTTCATGCAGTGAAAGTGAACGGTGACTGTGGTTGCATTATGCCCGAGATCTGCTTTTTGTCCACAGACAAAGTCAAACAGGTTAGGAATGTCACAAGGCTGAAGAAATTATTTTAAGTTCACAACTATCACTTTAATAACATTAATTACCGTATTTTTTGTTCTTTGCAGGGACCTCTGTTGCTAAAATACAAGTTTGAACAAGAATACAAATTCTCCAGTAGAAATTTAAAATCATTGAAATCATTGAAGTGCCTGGACCGTCCACCAGAAAAGAGGAAAAACAAAAAATGAAGCTGCTGCATCTTTTAACTGTTCTAACTCCCTTGTCCCTTGTGAAGATTTTATTGTTGATTGCATTTTATGTTGCAGCGAGTGAAGGTGCGGCCACAATTGTGAATTTTGTGAAATACACAGGCAAAAAAAGTACATTGTCATCAGTGTAGCAAAGAGGACAGCACACAGGAGTCACTTCCAAGCGGCTTTCTGTTGGTCAAACCCAGCGAATTACAGTGACCAACTTGGTCCCATAGTGACATTTTTGACCACACACAACATTGCTGATCGTGTGGATTCTTATTGAAATGACTGAAAATTCACAGAACAACAGATAATTGTACAGCACCTTAACCATCTATCTTGTTTAGCGAGAATACTCAACAACCATTTATGAGCACAATACAGTCTCCAGTATCATAGCATCCAGGCTTCAGTATTTTACTATTCAAAATAGCTGAATAACTAACTATCTGAGATTTCAGTATAGAGATAAAAGTTAGGATTAAATGATTTTCAGGAATTTTACAGCACAATGAGTGCATATTATTCAATTCAATTGAAAATACATTTAGTTAATCATGTAATATTTAGGGCATAACATTTCACCGTTGTTTGTTTATGGCATCTGATCTTTTGGATTTGGGAACACTAACATCTGACTTAACAAGCTTAACACAACTCAACTTACGTGAAGATGCACTTTTTTACATTGATTTATTAAATGGAACATATGTGTTTGCATGCATTTTGTTGAGATGTCTTTTCTTGTATACCCGGGCCTATTGTGTAAAAAAAATATTGTTGGTTTAACTTAAAAAATTAAGTAACCTGGTTGCCTTAAAATTTTAAGTTGATTGAACTGGAAAAAGTGAGTGAGATACACTGAAGGAGATTGATTTAATCATCAGAAACTCAAAATACTAAGTTATCTGAACTAAATAAATGATTTAAGTTGATTTGACTAAAGAAAAAATGTTGTGATAACAAATCTTGAAAATATTTTTTTTACAGTGATGTACATAGTTGATTATTCATGTTGCTTCATGTATTTTTTGTGTATTCTATTCATTGATATTAATCTATTACTAGCTTCTTTTCATATATTAAAATTGATCTAAAATATGTACTGTAATAAACAATTCTTATTTTGTATTTGGTTCAGTTTGTTTATTATAATAGAAGTTAATGCTAACCATAATAACATAATAATAAATGAATAAAAATTGGTTCCTGGAGGCAACCAAAGCGGTTCCACACAGTGTTTTACAGAATGTTTTATTTACATTCTGTATGAGCCGCATCGACGCATTGCTTGGCCAGATGCTGGCCACTGGGTTTAAGTGGTACAAGGTACATGAGCTTAAGTGTTACTGGATTGCAAAGCTTGTTGGTGGGTTTTCCAGAGCATGAATTCCTGTCTCCTTTGTGTACTATTAATATGACCTGAAATTGAACCGTGTTCTATGTGAGTAATCGG